AGTAGGTTAATAGCGATATACTAATATACTAATTACATGGGATATAATAATATACTACACTAATAATGGATTTTTTCATACTTTTCGGTTATCCGACTTTTCAATTATCCGACCAACCCCAGTCCTCAATTGAGTCAGATAATCGAGGCTCTACTGTACCACGAACGCCCATTTAGTATTATTGTTTATTTAACAACGACACTTAAAGACAAAGACAAATTTTTAATTTTAAAAAGGAACATAAATGATAATTGATCTGACCACCGTTTTGCTTATTTAGATCTTAACGAATTTATTGTTTCACCTGCAGTGGTAGTTTCAATGGTAGGAATAAAATATAGTCGACCCCCCATAACACTGTTGATTATTCCGTTTTATATGAATTCCATGTTTTACGAGTCACTTAGATTTTACAAATATGTGTGCCGGGCTGTAAACGGCTCATGTATTTGTAAAATATAAGTGTCTCGTACAACATGGAATTCATATAAAACGGAATAATCAACAGTGTTATAAGGGGTCGACTGTACCGTATTTCGTTTCAAAAAGAAATTCAATGGCAATTGATAATTGAAAATTTATTGACTAAAATGCTTTTTTAAAATTTGGGGAACAAAAAAAGCGCGATATAACGAGGGGCAACTGTACTTGTGTGGTTTTGTATGCTAAGAAAACAGGACAACTTCTCATAACTTAAACTCTGTTCTTTAGACGGTCCAGTTGATTAAGGCGTCAGCCTACCGCTCCCTAAAAATCCCATGGAATTTTTAGTAGGCGGTCTGCCCCAAATATATAGAGCCTAGCCCCACACTATCCGGCTGCCCTCATTGTGGGCTTGGCCGAACTCAAGATGTATATGACTAAAAGCAAGTCTTAGTGCTCACAGGGCAGAAAGAGTCAAAACTAAAAAAGAAAACGCTATTTTAGTAATGAAATGTTTTTTTGAAAATAGATAATAATACTTGATTATTAAGTATAAAATTTATTCTTCACGAACTTGGATTTGATTTCGCCTCAGATATTTCGGTAAATGAAAATTCATTTAAGGAGAAAATTAAAATTCAGCACTTGTAGGTGCGCGTTATTTTCTTGCGAGGACTAAAAAGCCGGCCTTCGTGAGAAAAAAAGCGAATGAATTTTCTATGTAATTGGAATTCTTTCTAGCGTACTAAAAAGCAAAACAGGCTTGTACTAAAGACTGATTAGAACTCATTCCAACCCCTTTCGCAACTCACGAACTCTATTATCTGAAGACATGATCGGTGTTTGCAAAGCCAGCGATATTTTGTATGGACCATATGTCCTTGACAGTCAAAACAACTCTAACTTCAGATCGATAGGTAATTAGAAATTCCGTGAGAATAAAATCGCTGATAACTTATCTAAAATTATTATTTTACCTAAAAGTGAATTAGAGAATATTCATTTTTCTGCTATTATTCTATTGAATTTTAACAATAAATTACATAAACAATAGTAAAAATTCCTCTCCAAAAAGATGTAATTAAATAATAAAACTATTATCTGGCGATTTCAAATTAATAAACGATTCAATTTCAGAAAAACATTAACCAAAAATTATAAAACTATTCATGAGACTAGAAGTCTGTTTTATTAATTAAGTATATTTTATAAAATATAGGCCTATATATTAACTTAGCTTTGCAGGATGTAAATTCTACACTAAAAAGAAAATCAAAGTATGAAGCTGTATTTCTAAAACAAGCACGAAAATAAGCAAAGAGCAACCTATAAAATAAATTTAAATATAATTTATAGACATGCTAATAGAATTTCGATAGATATGAGAGAGAATATATTGTCAAAATTATATTACAGTTTGAACAAGACGGTCTTAAAACTTTCCTGTTACAGAAAAAAAATCAATTTATCTTGCGACCCCACAGAGATCACACTATGTGTTATAAGATAAATTATTACCAAAAAAAATACAGTACTAACAGAAAGCTTGTGAGTTTTCAATTAATTATTTTTTTTTTCATTTAAAGCTCTNTTATTCTTTACTATTTTTTTAGAAATATAAAAATTTTTAATATTTATTTTGAAGTATTTATTGTAAATTTAATTTTATAACGAAAATGCTTAAAGAAAATATGCGTTTTCTTGTGAGAATTTCTGTCTATAATTGTAAAAATCTATTTTATTGTTTTTTCCCCTTCGAAGCTTATTATTTTGTATTGAATTCCGAATTATGAGATATTTGTTAATCAATTAATTACAATTAAAATGGAAGAGATATCTTTCGTGTATTTCTTTAATGCATTTCAATAGTTAAACATGTTATCATTTAATTTCGTCTTTAGTATCTTTGATGATATAAATCTATATTATCAAGACACTTTAACTTTTAGATACAAGAGCCAAGATATTCGGATTCGGAACTTATAAAGGACTTTTACGTCAGAAAATCCAATGATTTATTTTCCTAAAAAGTATTTAAATCGCAAAAATGAGATAAATGTTAACCAAAGAATTTACTTTTTTGTTTATTACTACATAATCAGGACCTATATTTTAATAAAGTTTGGATTTCCAAACGGAGAGTGCATTCATTTATTAGTTCATAATTATAAATATTTTAAGGTATTTTTCAGAGCACTCGGCTTTCTACACCAAGAATAAGAATTTAATCGTTTTTTTAAACGTTAACTATCACTAATAAGTTTAAAATTGTTATTATTTATTATAACTTATATTGGCAATAATAAAAATAATTACTATGCAACGTTCACCACTCAAACGAGGAAGACCTCCATTAAACCGTACCCAACCAGGAACAAAGAAAAACCAGTCATCTTCATCAAGTTGCAAAACGATAATGGACTTTAACTTTTGCCCTGAAGAAAACCTTCAAGAAGAATGCATCGAAGAAGTGAATTATAATCGAAAATCATCGCAAACTAGTGCAAATGATACTCCAGGTGAGTCAACTACTTCTGAACAAATTTTGACTAATAAACCGGACATTTCTTTAGACACCATTACTTCCGTGCTTTGGGACAAAATATCTGATTTGATAAATACAACTAACGATAAACTCTTTAACCAAATGGTAATTATCAAACAGGAACTTGATTTTATTCACGAAAACATTCGTGAAACGAAAGAAACTCAGAAAAAAATGGAAGCAGAGATTAATAGTTTGAAGCAAGAAATAGACAAATTACAAACGGATAAAGAACTTTTACAATTTAAAATGGACTCGTTAACAAATGAACATCGTTACAACAATATAATTATGTATAATTACCCAAATCATAAAACCACTTCAAAAGCAGAAATACTCAACTTTATTACTAATACATTAAATTTACAAGATATAACTCAAAAGGATATACTTGAGATAATTCAATTATCAAAAACTTCAAACCTAATAATTAGAATCACTTTTAATAATAACCAAACGAGAGATCTCATCTTTTCTTCATTTATACGTA